CCGTGATGTATGCTCTAATTTCGGGCCTGCTTGCCAACACACCTCTCATTCCTCATCTGACGAAGCAGATGGTCTGATGTCGTCACGAAATGACCGAGAAATTCATTGCCGAATGGCAAAGCATTACGGCCTCCGACCTGTGCAGCGGATATCGACGAATCTCCAGCGTCTGATGCTCCTCTAAAACTGGCACATGGTGCTGAAGCTGCGTCAAGGCGTGGAGTTTATCAATGAGCCATTTGAGAGCCCATTGCTCAGGTCTTCCTTTCAAGCTTGTAGGCTTTTCAGAGTCGTTGATCAAGCTCTACCGGGATGTAAGATGATTGAGGGGGGTACCACTCGCACAGTCTTCGTTCTCAGGTTTGAACGACCTTGTCGCCCACAAGAAATGGGATTTGGACTTCTAAGAGATCGTGATCGGCTTTTACAACACACGGTAAAGGTTTTAACTGAATGGTCAATATTTCACCATGATCAAAGAAGGGAAGATGGAACAGTATATTGTTCTCGATGTCCAGATCAACTGCCGCGGAGATCCCGTCCAGGTAATCCTGCCGTCGCCCACTTAGAGTTAACTAATATCAAAGTAAAACTAAGTTTCAAGAAGTCATGACTCCTGTAACTTCGCTGTGCTTCATCTTGTCTGCTTTTCTAGTTATCTATTATAGCCGACCAAGCGCAGCTTCTTCCTTTATCTCGCCTATCGAGAGTCTTGCCAGTCATTTGTTTCTCCTCTCCCCTCCCAGAATACCTATTAATTAGAGGACACCTGGATGTACAATGCCCAGAAAATCAACCACTCTCTCCTTTCTCATAGAGTTCAAGAACTCGTTCACTCAGAAGGTAAAAGGTTCTATGCCAGCGAGAGCAGGGCCGCAGGGGGTTACGGGTTAAAATGCGGCCGTATACAGCGTCAACAGCGGCCACTTTCGGCGTAGATCTCACAGGTCCTCACATTCCATATGGAATTGCTTCGTCCTTTTCTGTGCACATCTTTTCCATCTTCGAACGATCAAATTTCGCGTGTCTCTTTTACATTATCTGCACCTGTATCATCAGGACTCTCGCCCAATGTATTAAACCTTCTATAGTGACAATCATTTCGCCATTCCTGGTTCCGCGCGACCATCGAATTCGCCCCTCCGGAGGCGGACGCGGTGAGATCAAACAAGACATACGCATTGCAGCGCGAGAGAGATACCTGAGATACGATGGATGTGCAAGCAGTTCCAGGGTCAATTTCTAGCAACGAAAGCAGCAATGATCATTCGAATGCAATCCCCCAAGATGCCGAACCGCAGCCGTCTCTCGATGCGACTACAGAACAGGTTTGGGTGCAGCGTGCCCTCGCCGAAATGACAGACATGCTCCTCCTCCTTCGTCCCGATGGCACGGTTCTCTACGCTTCGCCGTCCTGCAAGTGGATTACCGGATACGAGTCGAAGCAGATCGAACGTGATGCCCTATCCCGCTTCATTCACGATGACGACAAGTCCGTCTTCACCCGTCAACTCGAAGAGTGCATCGCCACGGCCCGTCCGCTCCGGTGCCATTTCCGCTTCTACAAGTCGAATAATACCTTTTGCATCATAGAAGCGCACGGTCATCCACATGTCAAAGACGAGAATAGTACCTGCAATGGTGTTTTCGTTGTCTGCCGGCCGTATCCCACCAGGAGCTCGGCGCTACTCGATTCCTTTCTCGAACACAAGATCGAGAATATCCGGTTAAATCAGCGCATATCACAACTCAGAGCGGAAGAGGAGGAAGATCTAAATTCAGGTCGACAGGCATACCTCAAGCAAAATTCGGGATCATCTGCCCTGCGCCAGAACTTGCCTCCGTTCACATCTTACGATGCGACCGGCTCCGGTGAGGAAAACGAGTCGTCCGATACGGTCAACACCGATGATGGAGAACCGGGGTCGCTTCTTGAAAGCACTACGCGACAGGCGCAAGATCTGGCCCACATCGACGGAATTGAGATGATGACAGGGCTGCGCTACCGTGAGGGCGAGCGGTCTCATGGCCTCAGCACGGGCATGCGCCAAGGCTGTTTCGTCCATTGCGATATTGATATAGCCACGATCGAGCAGCAAGCTCAAAGCGCACAGGAGATCGATCGAAGGAAGAGATTGAAGGGAGAGTATCTGTGTACCGACTGCGGTACCTCTGATTCCCCCGAATGGAGGAAGGGACCGGACGGACCAAAGACCTTGTGTAATGCCTGCGGATGTAAGTTGCTTCCCTAAAGCTACTCCTGTTGTTACTCGACTGAAACTGACTGCTGTCTTCAATAGTACGTTGGGCTAAGAAAGAGAAGAAACGTCAGGAATCAAATTGATTATCACCCTGGACAATATCGGCGCATATTATCGAGTTTTTATACTCCTTTTGTGCGAAGAGATAATCTTGCGTTTCTTTCGCCGATTAGCATATGCGGCGAAACTGAGCGCCCTCTCGTTGGCTTCGAGACATAGCTCAGCCTTACTCCCCTATATGACTGGAGATAGTATGAGTCTCTCGGGTTTACGGATCATAGCTCAGTTTACGCCGAATGACTCGATCAACTATACAGCATCGATACCAGTCGCAATTCTTCTTATCATCTAAGAGACGAGGGTGAATCCTTTCTCAATGGCACATCGATGGCTCACAACCAGCTGAATCAACAGACCTTTGATCGAAAGGACGGACAGACATAGGGGAATAGAGCAGCTATCAACAAATCTGGTGAAGTCTCACACTCAATAACGGTCGCACACATCCTATACACACTTCAACACGATCGAAAATGCGCCCTCACTTTTTGGCAGCCTTCTTGGGAGGCGGAGGGAAATACATCTGAGGTTGAGGCTGGGCCGTTGCTCCAGCCTGAACATGTTGCCCTGATGCGAGAGTCTCCGCCGACGACTCCTGCTGCATCGAGTGGCGGGGATTCGAACCATCGAAATATTCACGAAGAGGTAGGTCGGATGAATTGTCTCCTCCTAATCGGTTGAAGGCAAGGCTACGGGGTGTCATAGCAGGCATGCCCTCTCGTGGATAAGCTGGGCTCATCGGAATCACCGCGGGAGACTTGAGAATGGCTTCTTCATATTCCTTCCAGGCTTTCTTCTCTTCGGCCTTCTCCAATCGTTCCGCGCGCTCTTCCGGAGTCAGGACGCAGGAATGGACACTCAGAACAAACTCGACAAAATAGAGGACGCTGTGTCTTCCGTCAATCACAGCCTTGAGGGTCGACTCGCAGGAACATGATACTCACATGATTATTATTGTGACCGCAAACAGGGCCTTCGCCTGATTACAGTAATTGATATTGTCCTTATTTGCGGCAACGGTGCACTTCTTCGTGATGTACCACGGCGCACCAGGCTGTGGGTGCGCGGGATCCGACATATCACTGCCGGCCTGGTACCGAGCTGAAACGATGTATACTGCAACAAGACCACCGTGGACGATAACCGACAAGAGCGGATAAAACAGTCGAAGGAAGTGTATGGGGGCTTTGGTGATCAGGAAAAATGTGCTTAAAACACCAATTACTAGGTTGTAATCGGTGATGCTGTAGCCCCAACCAGCGTCAGCGACATTCTTGTCCGATTTCCGGATCAAACCAACAAGGACGTTGGAGATGAGAAAAGAACCAGAGCGAAAGGCAAGAGAAAAGAAAACGTACAATGAGCTCCAGACTGTAGGAACCGTGTAAGGCCGATAGTTGGCAGCCGCATACAGCTGCTCATCGGGGGAACTGTTGAAGCCGTTGTCTGCGCCATCCTGCCACAGTTTCGTACGGTATAGATTATGAGAAGCGATTCCAGTGAGAGTCATGATAACAATGGTAAACGGCAGCTCGACAGCCATCAAGTACAAAAGTACTTTGTGATAGCGATGAGTCCGTGGGAAATACATGGCGACCGAAACCGAAATCTTCGGATCACTCACGAAACGGCCAATCTGAAAAGTCAAGTATGAAAGAGCTAGACCTCGTCTTTGTCGAATGTGTAGTCGAAAATAACTGTCCACTGGCGGCCAGACCGGCTGGCTGGGCGTTCAGTTCACTCGCATTGAAGGAACCAAACCACTCAACCAGAGGAAGGAAGTCAAGCAAGCAACAATCACGATAATGACTCCGTAGACCCGCCGGAAATACAGTTTAGATATAAACAGAGCAGAAGCACCGCCAGACTACTACAGACTACGGAGTACCTAGGGGTCAAATATCGCCTACGGCGCACGCTTGTCGTCTATGGTGCCCTGTAAGCTGATAGCAGACCTGAAGAGGGGCACCAACCGCAGCGACGATAAGCCAGGAAAGTCGAGGATCAAGACATGCAAAAGTTTCCTGCTGATGCGTCTGGCCAATGCTGGCGGGTTTGAAAGCGCCAGCACAGGCACGAAGCCCGGGATCTATCGCCAATGAGGCTGCAGAACACGCACATTGGATGCCCGCCATCACACGCTAGTCCGTGTGACGAGGAGATCAATCTGCATGTCTAAGCGGGTGGCCTTAGTAGCAGACCTGAGGAGATGTACTAACAGCTAGTTGTCACCAAGTCAACTCTTAGTATGCGAATGGTCAATTGGCTTGTTGAAAAGCGAAGCGCCAACGGGAGGAGGATCATGGGTGTCTGTGATTGTGTATGCAGCATGGTCTAATTCGCCTTATATTCATCCTCGACATGCTAATTGGCATGACTAATGCAAACAAGCATTCGTACTCTTATAGTATCTCATCGCCGAAGGTAAATAGACCTAACTCAAAAACTGAGAGGAAGTGCTAAGGAAGAGAGATGGAATAGTGATGGGAGGATGATTCCAGTATGACACGCTGGCAAACGTCATACCACTCATCTCCCATCAGAGGTGTACTCAATCTAGACTGATCATACAATGTCGTGTTAGCAAAGTCTCCGAGCTCAAAGCCTAGTCTACGTGGATGATTTGAAAATATAGATTAGATACTTGACGTCAAAACCATTAGTAGGTCGAACATCCGAATGCAGACGCCCCGACTATTGTGGTGCCACCGACTCCACCGTTCACCACATCCACCAAGCATCCTCATCTCTCAGCGCGTGCCTTTTCTCGCGCGGCTTCAACCCCTGTCTGTTCACCAGTCTGTTCCGGGTGCGATCCGACGCCAGATGGATTACGCATCAACTAGGAAGGCCTCCGTGCCGCATCTGGTGCGCACGGCGGCAGAGCCCCGACAGAACCGCTTGTATACCGTCCGACTCTCACATATTGACGAGGTCAATCCTACTGTGCGGCTGATACAACTAACAATTCCTCCTCATGTGCAGAGCCTGGAGGAGCAAGAGGAGCGAGCTGATGAAGAGGTATCCTGTCTCGCAACTATGCCAATTTACTTGTATATAAACTAACGATCTCAGTCTGATCAACCACAACCACTCACGTTCCTACCGGGCCAGTGGGTAGACGTGCATATACCTGGCCTCGCCGACGCGGGGGGATACAGCATCACCTCCACCCCGGCAGATGCTCAGGTTCTTCCCTCGCCAGGGCCTCCCGTGGAGTCTCCTGTGGACGAGGAAACGGGCCTGCCTCCGATGGACCCGCGAGGCAGAGCGCCGTACGTGGAGCTAGCCGTCCAGCATGCCCCATCCAACCCAGCCAGCGCATGGCTCTGGAGACCCAAGGACGAGATCCAGGGACAGGAACTGAGCATCCGCATCGGAGGCAGTTTCGTCTGGCCCCCATCGGGAATCAACCTGGATGAAACCAAGAAGGTTCTCTTCATTGCAGGCGGAGTGGGTATCAAGTATGCACACCCTCAAAGTCATTTGAGATTAGTAGCTAATCATCGTCCAGCCCTCTCATCTCCATGCTCTCGCATCTGAACAACAACGACGAAACAGCTCTACACCAGGAGCACTCCGACATTCACTTCTTCTACTCCACCAAGATCCCCCGGTCAGCTGTCCCGTCCCTCCCTGAAAAAAGCCCCCAGGCATACCTGGACCAAATCCTCTTCCTCTCACGGCTGCGCGAAATCATTCGCTGCCAGTCACAGTCGGGCCGTCTGCGGATCTCTTTACGGCTCTTCCTCACTAATCTCCACGATGACTTCGCGCCACTTCTGTCGGAACCTCAGAAAGATTTGACTATTTATGCACGAAGACAGCAGCCCGATGATCTGAGGCAGGCGCTCCAGGGACCTGACGGTGTCATTAGACCTGAGGAGACGGTCTGCTATATATGTGCGCCTCCCAAAATGACAGATGAAGTTGCGAGTACTCTTCGAGGGCTGCTGGGAGATGGTAAGGAGCGGATATTGTTCGAAAAATGGTGGTAATCAAGTTTCCATTCGTAAGATGTGGGAGAATGTATTGAGGCAAGCCACGCTAGCGCTGCCACAATCACAAATGTTCTAGATGAATGTTTCCGCAGACTGAAGTCCCTTGTCCTCTGCCCAATGATGAGACAATTCAGACTCATGCTAACCTGCCTTCTCAACTCAATATATAAGGTACAAAGACTGCAGGAAAAAAGCGCCCGAGATAGCAAGATGTAAACCATAGACAGCGTATCTATGCCGTGACATCAAGGTATGGGAGTGTCGATACGCATCACTGCGAAGTTGCTTCGAAGCCACATGTAAAGATCATCCCCCGACGGAAGCGGCGAGTCAAGAAGAGGAAACACATGTGCAAGGACTCAGAACGCTCAATGTTCATCAGGCCCTTTCACTGCACCTCCGTCGATGATCATCATCTCGTCGATCTTGGCCTCTACTTCGCCGTATTCAAGTCGCTTGTACGTCACAACACGCCCGGGGTTCATGTCAAAATCATAGAAACGAACGCGACGGACATAGCCACCATAACCTCCGTAGCCTCCAAAGCCAGCACCGCCTCCGTAGCACATCCAGAGAGACGGCTTCTGATCTCGATCCTTGTTAAGCATACAGTAATCATTAACATGATCGCTAGAGACACGTTAGCAAACAGTACAGATGTCGCTCCTGAGTATCAAAAAGGGTACTTACTGCCCGCAGCTCACGAACAAAATTCCTTCCTCTTCTAGTGCATCTTTGAAACCAGAGTTGAACCCTGGTGCGGTAGGTGCCTCCGACCAATTTCCTCTATAGTAATTCGAGGAATCACGGTATTCTGGAAGCGGAATATGAATAAAAGCCATGTTCATGTGCATGTGACTGTATTCATGGTGTTTTGTTTTGAGGCTTTGCGCTGTGTTTTTGAACCACCGAATCTGGTTCGGTTTGATCCAATCGTAGCCTCGGAACTGACGTTCATCTGGAGAGTAGGAATGAGAGTCGAGCAGGTACAGAGTCAAAGCCGAGTGCGCGGTCGTTCCGCGACCGAGGACTTCGACAATATAGTTTCCAACCCCATCCACATCTTCAGGGCCGGCGGTCGACAATGAGTAAGGGAGATCTTCAAGTATGGTCATAAGCTGTTCTCGACTAAGGTTGCCTTCGTCGTCGTGATTGCCGAATATGGCTGCGTAGGGTATCTTGCGGTCGACAAGTAACTTGACAGACTTGAAGAGCGCACTCTGAGCATCTCTCGAAGTTTCACCGTTGACTTGGTCACCGCTCAGAACAACAAAATCGGGTTTCTCCTCGTCGAGGAGTCTTTCCACAAACTCCAAGGTCCGAGGATCCGCTTCACACTTCTGACCGGGCACAGGCTCTACCGGGACTGCGTCTCGACACACTCCAAGTCCAGTGCTCAGATGAAGATCTGCTAATTGCATGATCTTGAATTTCCCATTCTCATTAATGCGTGGAATGGGCTTCTTGGTCTTTGGCGGGTCTCCCCTTCGAATACTGATGCGCGCCTCCAACTCCTCCGTCTTGCTATCAAGGAGCAGCGGCGTATCTTTCACCTCCCAGCCCACACGCGGATCAACCGCGTCCGCACCGAACAAGACATCGATCGAGGTGATCGCTTTCTGCGAGTCACTCGCATGACGCTTGGCCGTCCGCTTCAGCCAGATGCCACCTGGCCTCTGCTCCCAGTCAATTTTCTCTCCATGTGGATCATTCGAGGACTGCGGCGTCAGTCGGCTTATCTTCAAGTCGATCACCACCTTGTCAGATGCGAGCAGTTCCTCTTCCTTCTTCCGTTGGAATTGTACGTAAGCACTGGACGTCCACCCCAAGCGCAGATAGAGGTCCTTTTCAATTCTAGACCATGCCTTGGGGTCGACCTTGCAACTGGAAAAAAGACTGAGAGAAGAGCAAGTGACCACGGTCACATCGGTAACGACGTAGCCAGCATAATGAGAGGGAAGGTGGCCATGGATGGACGCCGGTAGCACACGGAATTTATTGTCTAGAAACACCACAAGAAGTAATGCAATAGAGGCGATGATAGCGAGCTGCACGCCCGTCCGAACCTAATAGCATCAAGAACATTAGCAGCAAAAACATGAAATAATCGACACTCAACGAGTGATCCATACAAGCCGGCGAGTCATGTTAATGAAAGGAGCCCCTGGTGATCTTCGAGCGGATGGTAAGCAACTGGACGCTCAAGCATGATGGGGCACACGAGGTTATAAGATAAAAGCAGGCCACACCACGGACAAGACCTGATTACCGTCAGTCCATCTCAAGGGGGCCAAATCTGGGGATGGAAGAGTCGATTGTCCGAGCCCCGTATTTGTAGCACTTGGAAACTCGAGACTGGAAGGCGGTCACATGTGAACTAAAGTTTATTATTACCACTTGATTATCGGCCTTTTGAAGTCCCTGATCCGCGGACCCGCTTGGTCTAGGCCTATTTGGGAGTTCCTTGATAAAGCCTTCCTGATTGGCCAGTCACAGTTGTCTCAGTACTTGTCCGATGTTGGTATCCTAGGTAGAGATCTTCTATATAGCCATCCCTCTCTATATGCATAGATATTATCGGAGGATATTTCCCCTTGTCTATTGAAAACTTGAAACCAGTCGAAGAAGTCCAACGTCTCCGGAATCTATACAGCGGCGGTGGATTCATCAATTGCCTTCCTCATGCACCTTTTTCAATCCTTCTTCAGCCACTTTCTTCAATGATACCTTGCCGCTCAGAATGTCTTTTGTAGTGGCCAGGATCGTCTCCCAACTTTCGAACGTGGTGAATGGCATTCCTTCCCGCTCGCAGTAGGTCACCAGATCTGAATTGTGATCAGCCGCATACTCGAAGATCGAAGGTCCAGGAGAGTTTTGGCTTACCATGCCCCTTTCTGGCGAAAAGAAGGTCAGTCTCTGCGGCAGCAGACAGATCGGAGACACCATCTCCAGCATAGAGCAGAGTAGGACGCTTGTCGACTGGCAATGCAGCATACGGCTTGATCTCCAAGGATTTGTCATGTCCGAAATGACTATCGAAGGCGCAAATTAGGCTCTTGAAGCAACGTTTACAACCAGAGTCTTCGATATCCTCACCTGTCATCGTGGTACTTGATTTGCCAACCGCCTGTGGTGTTGATGTCCTTGCCGTCGCGGCTCTCCACGTCGTTAGAAACAATGTGCAAATGGCTTCGAGGCTTGTGTCCCAGCAATGACTCGAACAGGGCACTAATGATGGGCTTCATCCCCGACGACAAGACCACAATTGGAACGTTGTTCTCCTCGGCCCAGTAGTAGAACTCGACAAAGTGGGGGTCAAGTTTCATGTTCTCCTGAAGGATCTCGATGCACTTGTTGAAGGGCGTCTTAACGCTGTCCAACATATCGCGGAAGGCATCACTGTAGAACAGCCGAAGAAGTCAGCGGACGCCTTCGCTGGAGCAGCCATACACTTGCACATACCGGAAGCTAGCTCTGCCGTGGAGCACATCGTAATTCCCTTGGCGACGTTTTTCTCGTCCGTATCCGAGATTGTCGGTCTGAATACATCAGCCCTGAGACGCCAAATCGGGTTTCATGTCAAGAAGTTTACCAGAAAATCATTGCCTGAGATTCAACGGAGGACAATTAGCTTCTGATAGTATAGTTTACAGCCCGGTGTGCTTACTATCTGCCAGTGTAATGGTCCCATCAAAATCAGTGAAGAAGATGATTTTGGGATTGGTCTTCATGTAAGGGAGTTCGGTGGAACCCATTGTGACAATAGGTAGTCCTTGAGTACGATGAAAGCCTGAATATGGAGAGTTATGGTAAGATACTAGCTCAGTGATGCAGATGATGTCAATGGAGACCCATGTGAGAGGGGAAACTACCAAATGGCACAGATTGGCTGGTAATTAAGTGTAGGGCTGGATATTCCGAGGTTGAATCAGGATGATAAGTAGATGGCTCAATGGATTGAGATCAATCGAAGAAGTGAAAGAAAGATAGCGTCCCATGAATCATCCCGCGGGGTGGGATCAACAGTTATTACTGCCCCGCGCATCGGTCATAACGCAACTAAACTGGATTTGATTTGACCTCTTCACTTTACTTGCTTCACCGTTCGCATTTAAGTACTGGTGAAAGAATTCAGCATGATAATTGGGTGATTTTTCGAGCTCTTCTGGGCCAGTTAATGTGGGGGCGCCGGATTGGGAAGATGGAACTCCCCCAGTCCCCACGCGCCCCTGTTTTGATAAGTGGACAGAGATAGAGAAGTGCCGATAGCGACAAGCCCGATAACCGTCAAAAAAGTTTCTGATTCCGGCCATTGCCAAAACTCCCATCGCAATTGAACAGCTGTTTTTCTTGACTTTGCCTGATTCTTCTTATTCCTTCTTCTATCAGCAAGCAGTGTTGGATGGCTCGTCTTTTTCAATCTCTGCGCCGAGCCTTGGGGCTGTCTGCCTCTAAGCCCGTTCCAAAATTTTCGGGGTCAATTGACACGAATTTTTCCTATTTTAGAGGTCAGCCCTTTCAGATAGTCAATACCTTTTTGTTCCTGTGTATGCTGATAAATGTTATGTTAGAGGGGGACAGGGTTGTTGTTCATGGCAAAACTCCATCCTTAACAAAGCCTCTTCGAAGAGGGCAGAAGACAGATGTGCGACGAGGAGTGCTGGAACACGATAGCATCATCGGCCAGCGAGTACGGGATCTTGTCAAGGCACATAAGGGTAGGTCAATTGAGACTCTTGATCAAGAGGAATATATAACTAATTGCCCGTCGCAATGCAGGCCCTGACTACCGACTCAGCCTTCCGACTCTCGACGAATATGTTTCCATGACCCCCCGTCTCGTCACACCAGTATGAGATCAATCGCCATTGCTATCTGATCCGTGCTCCTACTCACGAGCGTCCCAGTAGATATATTCCGCCGATGCCAACTTGATTGTCTCCCTCCTCGATATCCACGTCACTCCCCCGGCAGAAGGATCCCAGGAAGAGCCACCG